CCCCCTTTGCCTTTGTTGTAACAACAGTCAATGCACGCTGCGACGTATTCCCTGACATACTTTCGCGCTTTAGGGAACCAGAAATGCTCATAGATACGTTGTAAAGTTTTATCGACACCAAAGTGCCCCATGTCGTCATGACAATATTTCACGACCCGCCATCGTACTGCTTTTGGTACCACATAAAGACGTTTTTCGTTGTACACCTTATACAACCTATTGTTCTGTATTCGATATTCGCTGTTCAGTTGTGTTGCTTGCTTCGATTCGGCTTTGCCTTTTAGTACATGATTGATTTCACGTATCTTACCATCTTGTAGCTGCATAGTCAGCAACCAATCATCGGAACTTGTAGTAACCAGCAACACCTCTGAAGACTGTTCAATAGGCGCTCTGCTAAGCGCGTCAACGTGGGACATGCGTACGCCTGGTCGATGTACACAGTCAAAATCAAATTCAGTTAGTCGCATCCACCATCGTGCGATTCGAGGAATAAGTTGAGTTTTCGTTCTTATACTGCTAATAGCTGAGCAATCGGTTACCACCTTGAAATGCTTGCCCAGAATGTATACCCTAAACCTTGCGAGTGCCTCGACTACTGCCAATACTTCTAACTCATAGGCATGATAGCGAGACTCTGTTTCTGTACACCGTCGACTAAAATAAATAACCGCTTTCCAAGTTTTCCCATCGTCAGTTGATTGGAGTAACACTGCAGCTAGGCCAACACCGCTAGCATCAGTATGCACTTCGTGTATTGCATTAAAATCGTACAGAGTGAGCACTGGTTCATTACTCAATGCATTTATCAAAGTATGGAAAGCTATATCTTGTTCTTCCCCCCAGTCAAATTTTGTAGCTGCTTCTTTTCGCGTGAGGATTGTTAACGGTCGCGCGATAATAGCATAATTCTTTACGAATTTTCGAAAAAATCCCGTCAACCCCAGAAAACGTCTGACCTCAGTTACAGACACCGGTTTCTTAAACTGTCTAATTGCATTAATCTTCGCTTCACCTGGTATAATACCGTCACTAGTAATTCGATGTCCAAGAAAGCTAAGCTCATTCACCAAAAATTTGCATTTGCTATAGCGCAATGTTAAGTCACATTCTTCTAATAATTTCAGAAATTTTTCTATTATTATTAACCCGTCATCAACCGTACGGCTTGGAATAATTACATCATCCAAGTATGCAATAACTCGGTACGGTTTCATTTTGTCCACAATTTTATTCATCATATTTTGAAATACCGACGGTGCATTAACCAGCCCGAATGGCATGCGATTATATTCGTAGTGTCCATTATTTGTAACGAATGCAGTATATTGTTTAGCATCGTCTTCCAACTCAATTTGGTGATAGCCCATATTGAAATCTAAAGTAGTATAGTACGTGTTGCCTGCAAGCAATGCAAACAATTCTTCCATTATTGGCATTGGAAATGGCTGTTTCACCGTAATGCGATTTAATTGTCTATAATCTACACACAGTCTATGCTCTTTATTTTTCTTTTCCACTAGGACTACGGGTGCAGCATACGCGGAATCTGACACACGTATTACGTCTTTTGCCAATAAATCTTGAATTATTTCGTCCAAGATTGGTCTTTTCGCGAAGGGCAATCGGTAGGGTTTCATATTTATCGGATTGTAGTTATCGAGCTTAATATTCATTTTGGTAATTTTAGCTTTACCGAGAGTATTAAATCGACCTTCATACGTTTTTAGCACATTACTTAACTTTTCGTTATGATTTTCATCAAATACGCTCTCAATTATATTTATCTTAGATTGCATCCAACAATCTTCACCGTCAATTACAAATAGATTTCCGTTTGAACAGAGTACGTCTCTGCCTATTAATACATTATATTCAAGTTTATCATCGTCTACAATAAGCAATTTCACGTCAACACACACATTGTCGATCGCGATATTTGCTTTGATCTGTTCGAAACATTCACATTCACTACCAGCGAAACCTTTTAAACGCACAAAGCATTTTTCCTTCAGATTTTCTTGCAATTGATTAGCGAACTTTCTTTTAACTAACGAGCGAGCACTACCTGAGTCTATTAACGCTTCTGCCACAATGCTATTCACTTCAACGTTTTTCATATATAATTTTTCTTTATTTTCTTCGATCGAGTTGCACTTTGATTTTTGTGAAATTGCCGAAACTTTGCAGTTTTGCGCATCATGTCCATATTTATTGCATTTTTCGCACTTCGCTCGTTTTTGTGGCTCAGCACAATTTCGCGAGATATGACCCGTTTTGCGGCAATTGTAACACACTATATTTGAATTGTCTTTAACGTCTTTATTTTTCACCGGCTGCTGCGCAGCTTTTCCGCTTGGTACATCTTGTTTTACAGACACATTGTTTTTGTATGAGTTAAACATACAATAATTTTGGATTGCTCTTAACAATTCATTAGCGCATGCATACGTCTTTACCGACAGGGAACGTTTCATGTCCAAGTCGTTAATTCCATTTAGCACATATTTAATGATCGATTGATCATCCAACCCACCCTGTCTGCCAACAGCTAAAACACGATAGTAAAAAGTTTCTGGCGATTCACTCATATTGCGGCGCATACTCATTAATTTCATGTGAATCTCGGCCGTGTTTATTGTTGATGGAAATTCAAATAAGAAATCAGTCACAAACTTTGACCAACTTGCATACACTACTGGTGCAGAGTCCAACCAGAGTTTCGCGCAACCTTGCATTTTTGTGCTTACAGCAAACAACAATAGTTTGTCTCCCCAACCATATGCTTGGCGTAGTTGCTCGATTCTGCCTATGAATTGAACAGATGTCAATTCTTTCACGCTTGGATCAAATGTTGGTAGTATACCAATAACATTTTGTACGCTACCGAACTCAGCATGTATACTTCGTTGTTCGGTTACATACCCACCCCTATTACAACATACACTTGTCGGTGCGTTTGTATTCTGTTGACATGCAGTCATATGAACACTTGTAGGAATATAGTTTTCTGCTTCTGCTTGCTCCATATTCGTTGACGAAATATCTGCAAAATGTACTCGTCGTGCAGCATGCGGAATGTGTTGCGCATTCCTATTCGCGGTATATCGTGGCATAGAAATTCCTATTGAATTTTCATATTGAGATGGCAAATACTTCGCTGATTGGAACACATCGCTTGTGTTCATCGTCTCTCTCGAGTCTTGCATCGCTGTCTGCGCATGCGTTGTGTAGTTATATTCGTATCCAGCTCTCGCTCTCAATTCTCCGTCGTATATTTTCGGCTGTTGCGCAGCTGCAAATGAAGAAGGCAAAACGCGCGTTGTTTGCACTCCTCCCGTTGTTCGTATTTCCCCTATGCTGGGTAACGTCAGTGATGCGTTAGAGTGAGAAGAATGACATACCGTCGCCAAATCTTCCCCTTCTCTAACCGTCGGCATCGCTGAAAAATTTGAATAATTGCGTCGCGTCTCCCGAATTTCGCCATCGGTTGACATATGTACAGCATCGAATATTCTGGATGCAGGGCATACCGTCGCCTGTGTTAACATGTCTCTTTGCGCCGTTGATGATGAAATTGCAACGTGAGGAATACAACTTGCCGTCGTTGCTGCCTCTATTGCATGTCGAGATACATTTTCTGCTAATGTATTTTGTGTTGGCGAGGAAGCACTAAGAGGTGGCATACACTCGCCATTCCGTGTACGAAACGAATTGCTCAATGGACTTCCCATTTCCCGTAACCGGCGTTCAATACTTTCATTTAACGCACTTTCGAAACCTTCATTAAACTGGTACTCACAGAGCTTTTCGACCAGCTTTGCTTTATTACCCGCGGTAGACAATCCTAGATCGCGCAATCGCTGACGCAAATCCACTACCGTCATTTCACTGAACTTTTCCATTTCGATTTCACAACACTTGTATTCTTTGTCTCACTTCTGAAAATTGTCACAGGATAGTCGAGTTTATTTCAAATATAAATAAAACACCAATGGTTGTAGGCTGGCCCTGTCAAGGGGCAAGTATTGTAAATTAGTATTTATTCAAAGTATGTATTAATATTCAAAAAAATAATGGAAAAGTATCCGCTCAGTGAAATGGTCACACACGTCTGTCTATGTTCAGCTTCGGTCGCTAACTGCTGCTTGTTTCATCTTCTCTTGTCTACTATTCGCTTGTCGCAGGGTTGCATGAAGTCGTACGTGACAGTTCGGCCAATCCTGACATTGGCATCGTCTCGATGTCACTGGCTTCATCTTCGTCGGAATCATGTTCATCTAATTCGGGCGGTATTATGCACCATGGTTTAATTTTATCTGATGCATATACTGAACAGAACCATTTTTGCTTGTGTTGCATACCATCGATGTCTTCGATCAGGTATCTATCGTTACCCAAAACTTTGGTTACCACGTATGGACCTCGGTAACGTATGTCGAGTTTTCGCGATTCGCCCGTTGCTTGGAAGTCGTTCTCGATGACTACTAAATCGTCCACCTGATACACCATAGGCTTTCGATGCTTTGCGTCGAATCGTTTCTTCCACTTCTCTCGCTGTTTTTGCATACACTGTAAAGCTTTCTCGCGTTTATCTGCTATACTATCATCGATAGTGTCATCGGTTGCTGCTGCTAAAAGTCGGTTGCGAATGACGTCACGCAACTTGAAGTCGTAAATCAGTTCATTTGGACTAAACCCAGTACTAGCATTACGTTGGGAGTTTACGCTCCATTGTAATTCTCGTAGTTGGTCATCCCATTGTTTTGCCTGGACACCAGATGTACGGAGAAAATCTAAAATAATTTTGTTGGCTCTCTCTACTTGTCCGTTTGCACGTGGAGTTCTCACTGCAGTTCTAATATGTTGAATATCGTTTTGCTGACAGAATTCAGTGAATTGTTTCGACGTGAAGGCCGTACCACGATCACTTATTATACGGCTTGGTAATCCAAAATAACATGTCAGCTCGTTGAGTACCTGCAACACCGGCTGAGTCTTTGTGTTGCGCACAGGTTTTACCACCAGGTATTTCGTAAATGCATCGCTTATGACTAAAGCATATAGATTACCTCTTTTGCTTCGCGTAAATGGACCCAAATGGTCGATATGAAGCGTACGAAATGGAACAGGCTCCACCTCGCTGAAATGTAGTTCGCCTTCTGGCTTGCCCCC